GTGTGTGTGTGTGTGTGTGTGTGTGTGTGTGTGTGTGTGTGTGTGTAAAGAATTTACAAAGGGTAACAGTTTGGGTAAAATATATTTCTTCTAATGTTACAATTCTATGATATTTGGGGGCGGGGGCAGTTAAATTCCAGGCTTCCCCACACTGCCAAACAACCAAATTTCTTACAGCAGTCATAAAGATGTGCTCCATCCAATTCAGTCACATTCCTGAGCAACACCTCAGAACCCCTCTAGTTTCCTTTCCCTTCAACGGCCAACTCAAACGTGGCTTTGTGTTTTCAGAGCGCCTTTTGATACAAGGCATTAATGCCATTAGATGTCAAACCCTGTGAAGTCAGCCGGCCTTGGGTTGTGAAACCCACTCTACAGAGGGAACCCAGAAGCTCAAGCTACGTTCAAACCACCAACTCCCTGTGGCCCCCGCTTCACACACAGTCACTATGAGTTGGAATCCACTCAATGGCAGCGAGTTTGGTTTCCATTAAGGGCCCAGAGGACAAGCCTTCTCGCGGGCTGACCTAGCTAGGTCTTTCTTGGACAACTCCCTCTCCTCCTTCCTCCCTGGACTTTTGCTAGGCTATAGCCTGAAAAGGGCTTTACAAAAAATGTCTCCTTTATTATAAAGTCTACATTCGATTCTTTGATTAAACAAATGCATGTTGTGCACAACCAGCCAGCTCATGCATTTGTTCACTTGGCTCAGAGGCTGAGGCTGCACGACCTCCTGGGAAACTGCAGTCCATCGATGTTCTCGGTGCTTCTGCTCGTTGAGTAGTGCGTGGGTCTTAAAAGCTTTTACGTAGCATCAGAGTAGACCACTGGTGACTGGCTATTCCCTGGAGCAGCAGAGGAAAAGAGCCAGGAGCTGGAGGAGGAGCTAGATCTTGAGTCGAATCGCCTCCTGGCACAACTACCTCCTTTGCCAGGAAAGCAGACGAATGGCATGGGACTGTTCCTAAACGTTTTCATCAGGCTCTGTAGAGAATCCTGATTGAAAGGTTAAACACAGCTAACACAATTTCATATTTTTATGGAATCTGGACTTTCTGGATCCACTGAGGCTAGGAAAAGTCCTTCTCAAACTATTGCCCTGATGTAATCTTTAAAGTTCATACCTTGCATTGAAATGATCCCCTGAAATTCAAAACTAAGCTCACTATCATCGAGCCAATCTGGCTCACAGCAACCCTACAGGACAGGGTAGAACTGCCCCTGTGGGTTTCTGAGTCTGTAACTCTTTACAGGAGTTGAAAGCCTCCTCTTTCTCCCGAGGGGCAGCTTGTGGTTTCGAACTGCTAACCTGGCAGTGAGCAGTCTAATACTTAACCCATTAGGCAACCAGGGCTCATTAAGTTCCCCCTGAAGTCATCCTTAAAGCAAATAACAGTTTGAGCTTAATTAGTAAAGGAAGTTCGTCTTGAGTCTTGTGCTCTTTTATGGAATGATTGCCATCACTCTGGGATCAAAGTGACATGAATGAACAGATCAGAAGCAAGAGGGGCAATGAGTCTGTGTTCCTGGGTGTGTCTGGGAAGCACAGTAGGAAGGGTGGCACAGTGTGGCTGCACAACTTCATGAACGCAACCATGATCACGCAAGTGCCCATGAAGAGAGGGTCCAACTGGTGTACCTTTTACTGTGTACATTTGTATGCTCTCCACCCTACCCCCACCAAGAGAAAAATGCTCACAGTGATGTTGGCAAAAGCTGTTCCAACCATAAAGTAGAAGACTCTAGGATGCATTTCTAAAATAGCTGACGGTGACCCGAGGATCCATGCTGTAGATAAAATGAAGAGCAAACATGGAGAAAAGAAGGGGACCATAGCTTCATAGACCGAATTGTGTTTCAAGGTGTTATTTCTATAGCTTCTGGAAAAAGAAAAAGAAACCAAGTAATACAGAAAATATTATTACACAAGGCGTATACTAAATAGTTTGTAGTTTTCAAAAGCACTTTCATGTCAAGCCTCTCATTTCACGCTTACAATAATAGTCCTATGGCATATGCACAGCCAGCATGAATAGCCCCATTACACAGCGCGCCCTACCTTACTACCAGTGGCCCCGCTGACTCACAGGAGTCCAGACTCCGCTTATTGGGAGTCACCACTGAGGCATTTCGGACCCACGGCCACCACTGTGTGCAGAGTAGAACTGCTCCATTGGGTTTTAGGGCTGTGATCTTTCAGAAGCAGGTCGCCAGACTTGTCAACAATCGCACCTCTAAGTAGGTCCAACCACCACCCTTTTGGCTAATAGCTGGGCATTTGACCACTGGTGCTACCCAGGGACTCCTACTGACACCTCGTTCCACCTGTTTTTCCCCAAACCAAACAACTATGATTAACTGATGAATTAGGAATGTCTTTGAGCCTTTTTCTTTTCCTATGAGTATAGTCTAACAGTAATTTGTGAAAGAAACACAGAACATGCTTCAGATGAGTATCTCAGAGGTGTTCCTGAATCCCGAAGGAATACGCACTTGAGTCAGAGCTATTTTGAGCTCAGAGCCTCCATGTTTGCTAATTTGAAAATTGTCAGTGCCGGTTCTGCCGCTAACTAACTATATGACCTTGGATTAGCCGTTGGCCAATCAGGGCCTCACAGATGAGGAGGGAATGACTCAAATGTTCTTTAAGCCCTTACAGCAGCAGTTCTCAACCTGAGGGTTGTGACCCCTTTGGGGGATCAAACGACCCTTTCACAGGGGTCGCCCGATTCTTAACAGTAGCAAAATGGCAGTGATGAAGTAGCAACGGAAATAATGTGATGGTTGGGGGTCCCCACCACACGAGGAGCTGTGTGACAGGGTCACGGCATTATGAAGACTGAGAAACACGGCCTTACAGCTTTCAATGTGAAGGCCTCTATGACTGTCAGCTACACAAGGGAAGATTGATAGAGCTGGGCTTAGCAACCTCAACACAACTCTGTGAGAGCTGAGAGAGCTGGTGGGTAAAAGCGGGAAGCAGAGGAGACACCGGGAGCCAAATGCATGCAGGACACAGCCTATCCATTCAGAGCGGCTGAGAAAGGGCGGGGCAAGGGTCTCGTTTTGAGAAACGAAGCTACCCGCTCCACCCTGCTCCAGCCCAGGCACGGCCGGCCGGCCTTCCAGATGGTGTCGTTTGGAAAGGGTTAGCAGAAGTCCACGGTGTGTTTGGCTCTAAATGGCACAGGTTCAGAAAATCCCTTTTATGATCATCTATCTAAACTGAGAGATAAGGTCCTCCCTCCGGTAGGCAGATTCACTCGCCAAAAAAATGACACATCAGAAGAGGGCTTGGCAAGGCCCAGACTAACAAGGGAACAGCGTCCCCTATGCTATGACGCTATTAGCAAGTCCTCCCTCTCGGCATGCCAGCAGGTTGATCGGACTCACAGCGACCCTAGAGGACAGGGTAGAGCTGTCCCTGTGGACCTGAGAGGTAACTCTGTCTCCTGGGGAGTGGCCATGAACTGCTGACCTTCTGCTTAGCAGCCCAGCCCGAGTGACACGCCTCCCTCATCACCAGGGCTCCAGGAACGCACATGGACACCCTAACCTATGAGCAAGCTCATTGTAGACTCAAAACAGGCGCTGCGTTGGGTTCTTTTCAAAATGCAGGCTCCAAAAGAGAAAGTGGTCCTTAAATTCATCTAAACAGCAATTTTTAACGATTTTCATGTTGCTTGTCGAAGTTAGAAACTTACCTGAAAAAGTTTAATAAACTCATCGGAACGGTTAAACATAATGCACAACCTAGAAGGAAGAATGAAGTCCTCATGACATAATCATTCAAGAGTAGTCATTATGTTGAGTACATGAAAAATATGCAGTGTTTTTAGACCCAGTAATTCTCCAGATTGTTTCTGTAATGAAAGTATATTTCTGGACAACGCCTACACCAGGGAAGAATGGGAGGCGAGCAGTTTGTGGTTCTGAGCATAGACTCAAGGCGCCAGACTGGGCCTGGATTTGAGCTGCCCTATCAACGGGGAACCTAACTTCAAATATCCTAGCCTAGCTCTGCGCCCGCGCCTCTGTTTTCCTCATTGATAAAAGAAGAGGTAATAGCAGTCCCAACCCCTAAGGGCTCTGATAATTACCAGCTTTCCCACATACCTAGCGCAGTGGCTGGCCAGAGGGACCGGCACAGTAAAGGGGTACTGTTTGGGGTGTTGGGAGGGGTGGGGTACTGAACGTATCCTGCTGCTTCCTGTTTATACCTATCTACCTCTCCAGCAGTCTCCGTTTCAACCCCTTCCCGGTCTCTACCAGTTCTGTCCCCGCAAACTGAAAAATAAGAATGGACCTCCAGGACGCCCTACCCTTGGAAATGCTGCCCTCCATGCCTACTGTCTCATTCTTGTGTTTCGGGGTACTTGGCACGCTTTTCTGGGGCTTCAATCCCTCGAGCACCCTGGCTCATTCTTGTGAGTTTGACCAGCTCTCCAAAGGCCTCACCAGGCCTGCTGTGCGACACCCTCTGTTGACTATCCGCTCATTGCAGCCCTCCCCTCTCTTTGCCTTCCTGACAGCAGTCTCTCAATGTGTCTCTTAACCACCTAGCTACGTCAGGTGGTGTCCTTTTTCGGTGGCGACTCCTCCTGGGCACTACCTGGGGATTTCACTGAGTTTCTTTGCTCCCTCAGTACCTGGTGAGTCTTCTAAGTCCAAGCTTTCTGCAGACGACCCCAAGATCTAGCCATGTACCTTGGGGAAATCAGACAACCCCTGGGAATCATTGATCCAACAGTTGTAAGTGAAGTGCGTCCCTTGTCTGCTGAAGCTTCAAAATTCTTTGAGTCTACAATCTACAGAAATAAACTTTCCTCGTCTTTCTTGCTTGCAAACTCCAAAAACAAACGAACAAAATACTTCTGGCGACTTCCTAGACACCCACGTTGACCTGTCTTATTGTCACTCAACATATTCGCCATCGCTGGTCCACGCCTGACTCCGGTGACTACACTTGGCTTCGGGGATCGATGCTGCAATGACCAGAAGAGGTAGAAAAGCGTTCCTTCACGACGACTGCTGAGGCAATTTTGCTAAAAACTGATGAAGAGATTGGAAACCACCAAAAAGAAATCTTATCCCAAAAGATGAACTGCTGTGGTACTTCCAAACTCAACTGGAAGAAAGTGTTCCCAGGGAGAAGGTGGCTGAGGGAAGAGCGTGAGACAGGCTGCTCTGTCGAGCGGGGACGGCCTAGTGCCGGGACGAAGGCAAGGACCCAGAAGCCCTGGCACCTCGGAGGCCTTAGAAATAGACTCAGACAGACCTGCAAAGGATTTGCTACCAAGAGAATTTTTAGCTTCCAGAGTCTTGGCATATTTTATCGCATCAGATGTTCGTGGCGTATAACAGTGAAACCCTACAACTGCTTCTTTGGTAAAAAACAAAAACCCTCAAACTCCCTGCCATTGAGTCGATGCCAACTCATGGCAACACTATAAGACAAGACCAAACTGCCCTGAGTTTCCAAGACTGCAACTGTTTCAGGAGCAGAAAGCCCTGTTTTTCTCCCAGGGGGTGGCTAGTGGTTTTGAACTGCTGACCTTGTGGATCGCAGTGCAATGCATAACCCCTACCACACAGGACTTATTGTCACCAAAAAGCATCCTACAAACAGCCCTTAATTGTTTTAAAGTGAATCTCTTAAACTCTCTAGTCTAGGTCTCCCATAGTAACAGACTGCTGTTGGTGTTGCCTTGACCGAAGACCAGGCAGGAACCAAAAACCACGGCTGTCATCAAAAGGATGGGAAGAGAACGAGAGACAATCCAAGGAGAACATTGCCACAAATACAATCCTGGCATGTCTGTTAGTGACCTAGGCATGGCGATTAAACACAAACTTTCACTAAAGCCACCAGACAAAAAGGACCCTGAGGGAGGTGAAAAGGCAAACTCAGCAGGCAAACGGGAGCACTCAGGGAGCAGGGCAAGGAGCAGAGAAACTGCAGGAGTGCTGTTCCTCCTTGAGCACCGGGCTGCTCGGGCTGGGCCTGAGTTTGCGCTAGCTTCCGCAAAGTACCCCACTCAGCTCGGGCTGCGGGAGGCCGAAGTCTCGCTGGCCTGAGTCAGTGTGTTGGGGCAGAGGCTAGCAGAGCTACGGAAGGTTTATGAGGTGGAATCCTGGCAACAAGGAAATCACAGAATCTTGTTCCTTTTGAAAGCTGGGTATTACTTACCCAGCCGTAAGAGGAGACGAAGTGCTAATATATGCTACTACATAGATGAACCTTGAAAACATTGTGTGAAGAAGTAAAAGTCAGGTACAAATTGCTTTGGGGAGGAGAAAAAAGTTCTGAACATAGATCAGTGGTGATGGTTACTTAACACTGTGAGTATAGCTAATGCCACTGAATTATACTTTAAAATAGTTGAACGGCAAATTTTATTTGGGGTTCATTTTACCACAATAATTGTTATTTTAAAAAGGAGGGGTATGAATTCTATAGCTGAAAAAAAAAAACTTAAATGAAAAATTCATTATACGGGCTCAAACAGTGAATTTGAAGATCAAAAAATAAAAACTAATGCAAAGAATAGAGAAGTTAAAAAAACAATAATAAAAACTCATGAGTTCGGCTCCCAGTAGGGCCTCAAAAAAACACACACAAAAACTCATGAAATTACCTGCAGGAAAACAATCACACATTCTAATCACATACAGGTAACTTGGGGTCCCAAAGAAGGAGAGAGAACAAGAAAGAAAAAATATCTGGCGAGAGAATGACTGAAAACTTCCTATATTTACTCAAAAATCTTAACTTACAGATCTAAGAAAAGTTCAACAGACAGCAGTGTGGGAGTGTGTGCGCACACACACACCATAAACTACTGAAATCCACAGATAAAGCAAGTTTCTTGAAAGCAGCAAGAGAAAAATAACAAATACAAGATGATTGTCGTATATGGGCTGACTCAAAAGCAAGGGCTGCCAGAGGACATATTCAAAATGCTGAAAGAAAAAGAAAGGCAAAATATAGGCATTTTCAGATCAGCAAAACCAGAGAAAATGCTCTGCTACCACACGAGGTCTGCACTGCAAAAGATGCCCTGGAGCCCATCAGGCGCCCAGGAAAGGGCACCATATGGCAACCCGGTGCAGGTGAAGGCGCGCAGTGCGGGGCGGGATGCCAACGACGTGGTAGGTATAAAACACTGAGTGCTCTGAAATGACCGGAGGGGAAAGAGCAGCGATGCGTAAGAAGTAAGACTGACCCGGATACTAAAAACTGTGGAAGCCAGTGATGGAATCGAAGGATGGCTTATACAGAAATGGGAAGTACTTGAAATTGTCCATGATACAAAGTATCTATCAGACCCCAAAGCAAACTCACAACATGTCAAACAGAAGCAATCGGCCTCCTTCCAGCCTGCTCCTCTGTACCCGACTCTAGTACGGCAATCTCAGTATGCACCCCAACCACTTTAACAGCAGAACCACACTTGGTTGGGCCCTACTGCCCTGCTGTCATTTTTACCTACTAAACCTACCGTTAAAAAGGCAGTTTCATTTATGTAGAATCCTGTGGGGTTTTGTTTGACTTCAGAGGGTAGAATTCAGATAAACTTGTATGTTACAAGGAAAAGTTCATGCCTATTGGCAGATAAAATGAGAAGCCTCTACTTCATAGTCAAAAATATTTCTATCAGAAGAATCTACCATATCTTTGAATTTAATATTTCATGTAAAAAGCAGCAAATTTTGTCACAGAACAAGCTGCTTCAATAATTTAAAAAACAAAACTAAAACCTCATTACAAAGTTGGTGACGGTTAACCTTTTCAAGGTAAAGAATTCATAACTCACAAGGTTACCCACAAATGTAGGAGATTACCAAGAGGGAGAGTTCCTAAAACACACGAGGTCCAAAGCCACAGAAATGGCCAAACCACTTGGTTTCTGAAGCCCAGTAGCTAAATACACCATAAGCACAGCTGTTTGTGAGCCTCGCCTAATTCCCATTCTGTTGTCAAAGTTCACCAAGGATAGGGCAGTGCTTCCCAAGGGAGGGGTCCCACCCTCACTGGGGGGGGGTGGTGCCTACAAAAGCAGAAACCTACCCTTTTTCAGGGGCCATTGCACAAAAGTTTTTAATTGCCAGGGGGTACTGAGTAATTTTTTTATTTTTCAAAAGAAGGGGGTGATAGGCCCAATACATTATTTTTAGATAAAGGACGCAGCCACATCCCACAAGTAAGCCTTTCTACTTCTAAGAGGGTCCTTGGTGCCACTCCCGGTGCCCCAAAGTCACAAGGCAGATTCCTCGTCCGCTTTGCCTCGAAGCCCCGTCTCATCCTGGAGAACACCCCCTATGGCTAAGATCAAAAGGGACTCACTCCCCTACCAACACCCTCCCTAGCGGTTCCATAGGTACATGCGAGGAACTGAGGCTCAATTACTCTACACTGGAGTCTAGCTCATGTTTCGTTCCGTCTATTTCCCACAAACTAGTAACAGTCAGCTTTGAGGAGATAACTAGGGTACTGGCAGCCAATGTCCCCCTAAATGTGGAGCCTCCACTGCAAACTAGGTTCAGTTGAAAAGTTTGCCAAAGGTTTGTGTGGTCCCTTTGGATATTTTCTCATGATTTATCCAGTTTGATGCTGAACAAATCAAATTCTACCGAAGAGACGCGTTCCCCACCTTACTGGTAAGGTTCAATGCTAGAGGGCCATTCAGCTGCCCAGAGGGCCGCTGGTGGAGCTGGCTCATGTCAAACGGGGACTTTGGATAACAAGGTGATGATTAAGAGGGTCAACATGGAACTTCTTACCAATAATCATTGTAGTGAATAGGTCTCTATATAAGAAATTAAACAGGAAAGGCTCATACCAGGCCTCAACTCCCACAATCGCAGTCACTATGTAGACAAAAGAGATAGTCTGGAAGGAAATGCAGACAAAAGCACAAAGAGGCATTAACAGCTGGGAAGTTCAGGGAGTCAACCATGCCCTAAGCAGCCTAAGTCTCCTCGGGCCGTTTTAGTAAAAGCAGGAAGTGTCCTTACACTGGATTTGTTGGCGTCCTCTTGCCTTTAAAATTATCTTCTTTGCCAACAATGCCGTAAAATCATTAACTTCTAAACAATGCAAGCGACTGGCCGTCACCTTTAAGGGCACATGAAGGCCCCTCATATACTGGTTAAGCCATAAAAATGATATGATTTGCCCCCCAGTCTCTTCATTCCTCAAAGCCACTCCCAACTGCAGGGGTTTTACCGGAGCCTTAGGAGCAAATGGGCAAACTAGCAACACAGAGGGACTCAAAGGCAGGGAGTGTTAGTAGCATTTGTTTAAGAAGGAAGAACAACTATCTCTACTCAAATATGGAGGATGAAGACTCAATACCAACAATGTAATTATGTGTGTGTGCTTTAACAACATAATCAGTTCAGGTGAATGAGCATTGAATAACCTTAAAACAGGTTAGTTGGTATGACTGTGGCATTGGGAGTGTGTGTGTGAGTGTGTGTGTGTGTGTGTGTGTGTGTGTGTGTGTAGAGAACATCACTAGAGATATAAGTGACAGAATGTCAGGCATTTCCTTTAAAATAACAGGTGGGATAAATGAGAAAGGACACAGATAAAACTAGACTGGCAGTGTGAGTGTAGGTAACTGCTGAAGCTAACTAATGGGTAGAAAAAGGTCTAGCAAACTAGTTGTGTGTGTGTGTGTGTGTGTGTGTGTGTGCGTTTTGGAGGTGGGGGTATGTGTTTGAACTTTTCCATAACATGGTAAATAGGATAATAAAGGGGGCAAAGGCACACATTCGTTCTAAGCAAAAAGCATAAGGGCAATAAAGAATGGGGAAAACTTTCTGGAAAATTCAGGACTGTGCTGAAACTGTATGGCAGAACAAGTACTTACCACCTGGCTAAGGTCGTATCCCCACGGCAGGAAAAGAATGCCTGTGTTGTACTTTTCCCAGTGCGACAGGATGAAGGAAAACAAGACTACCCACAGCAGGATGTAAAGGACGAACACACTGACACCGGTTGGCCCTCGTCCAAAGATGGAATACACAGTGACCACAAAGTAAACGCAGGCCCAACTGTCCAGGCCATGGTCAAAGAGCTCCCCTAAGGGGGTGCTGGAGTTGGTTCGACGGGCTTGCTTCCCGTCCACACCATCTGGAACAGAAACACAGGCACAGGGAGAGAGTCAGCATTTCCACCAGTCTGGAGAAACTCTCCCTTAATAACTGAAGGAAAACCAAACCTAACAGTCAGTATGTGTGTCACAAGGACGTGATCGTTACACCAGCCAATACTCAAAGTAAGTGAATAAATAAAGCTGAGCTGCATTTGTCACAATTCAAAGATGACAGAAATGAAACTGTCAGGCCTTCACGTTCAACCTAAATATTAAAATACATGATAACATGCTGAACGACCCGAAGGAGCAGCTTTTGATTGGGATTCTGAATTCCTCCAAAGCAGTCCACCTAGCGCTTGGGCTGTTCAACCGTCTGGGCACACATTAGCCGGTGTGCGGCCAACCCTCATTTATGGAGGGCTGAAGTGCATGACATCCTGTTTGATATTACAGTCACTTGTTTACAGATCTACTGTCTCCACCAGTGCTTCCGGAAAAGGTGTGGCGTAGAGAGCGTGATTAGCAAGTGCGAGAATCCACCCTACTGAAACTGTGTATGCTCGGTGGGTGAAGGACTCCGTTTCTGCCCTCTGAGAATTTACAACTGAGAAAGAGGACGGAAAAGCATGACATGACACACAAACCAGAAAGGAATACAGACGAGAGAAGGGTGCTTTCTCTGCGCGATAACAGTGTCTACCCAAGGCGAAACCTGAGTGGGGCTGCAAAGACTGAGTTGGGTTTCAGCAGATAAGCGAGAAAGGAGTGTGCCATTTCAAGAGCGGTCGGCAAAAAGACGGCAATGGAAAAGCACAAGGCAGGCTTGGGGGGACGCGCCACGGCGTTTAATTCGACTGGAAACGAGGTCTGGGGAAAGGGGCCAATAAAAAGAGACCAGAAAGGAGTCAGCTCAAAAGTTGTGGGGAGTCCGAGGAGCTATGCAGGCAGGTGAGTCAGGGGTGACAAAAACCCAGCTGGCGTGCCATCCCAGGGAGGGAGACCCCAGAGGGGCGCTCATTGGCAAATCTGAATGGAGCCAGCGGTAGCAGAAATGGAAAGCTCGGGGTCATGAAGAAGGAAATGGGACAGGATGCAACAAAAGATAAGATGTGAAGTCTAAGGACAGGAAGACAAAGACGGGCCGCGAGTCTCCAGCCCGGGAGCGTAGAGAACAGCAGGGAGCGCAGGCTGAGGGCAGCTTTCGCTCCCGCAATGGAAGTGCGGGCAGGCCGCTGACATGGTAACGTCAGGTGACTCCAGCCGAGGGCACCAGCAACTGTGGCCATAGAGGCTGGAGAGAGAGCCTTCCGATCGCCTTACCTTGCCATGGCCACGCCGAATCAAGAGGACCAGCACGGTCAGGAGAAAGGGGGGGGACAAGGCGTAGGCAACAGCCCCTGAGAAGGAGGGCAAAACCGAGCTGAAAGGGAAGAAGCTGAATTTTTTTCTTCAAACAATTTCTCCCCCCAAAATATCGTGTTAATAGCTATGGACACTAGAATTAGACTAATGGTAAAGATTCGTGAATGAGGAAGTAAGATTTTCTGGGGACAACCGCTTCTCTTGGTCACCACGGTATGATCCCCAGTACCTACCTCGTTTGGGGGCAAAGTGGGCCTTGCAGAAATATTGTAAAAGGCACAGTTGAAAGGAGGAATCGCAAATCCCTGAGGACCTCTTTCACGAGGTGGGAACTAAAATACTTCCTTCAAAGTCTCTCCACATGACTCAGTTGGCTTACCAAGGCCCTATTTTTCAGTGTAACTCATGCCCAGGTACTATGAATACTGAATTAATGATATATTAATTAGGTTTGGGACTTTTTCTCCCAGAACCCAGTCCGGTTCCACCCTTAGGGTGCAGATGTTTTATCTTCATCACTGTCGTTTGATTTTGGTAAGGTTGATTCTGGATACACCAATAGGCAGGCACTGTGATCACACATATTAATATTTCTACCACACAATATGTGACTAGTCACACGAAGCGGTGCAGATGAAGACGATAAGTTGCCTCGAGGCAAGTTCTGCCACGAATTGTCCAACCCAGGATTTTCTGTGGAACTGTGGGCCTGAAGCAATGGGTAGACGGTACAGTGCAGCACAAACTATCAGGCTCTTTCTGAAAGGGCAGAGCTCACACACAGCCCACCTTTGCCTCCGACCTCGTCCCCTCAGCAGCCCTCGGCCGGTAACAATATGTCGGCACTCCCCACTTCTCTGCCCAGGGTTCCCCGGCCCTCGCTGCCTCCTTCCGCATCTGCGGGTTTAGGCAAAGGCTGCCCTGTTCGGCTCATAGACTTAATTGTTCAAAGGAATCTATTCTTGTTTATCTTATAGGCCTGTCTATTAATTAGCTGAAGGGGTAAAGCCTCTAGGAGAGAATGCAATTTCAACTTAGAAGCCTGTCTCAGAGGCATTATCTCAGGGGTTCTGTCCCGTCTCCTTCAGCCCAGTAGATCTGGATTTTGTTTTCATTTGAACTTTGTTCTCCCTTCGTACCCATTCTAACTGGCAGCATCCCGGGCACTGTGGGCTGTCGGGCACCAGCTAGCTCTTCCAGTCTCAGGTTAAAGAAGGCTGTGGTTGACGTGGGCTTCGGACTAACTGCTTCCGCCTTCAGTTGACGTCACTGACCTTTGTTCCAAGCAGACAGAGACCAAAGGTCTGCTTTCTTACAGGTTCTTTAACACTACTGAGTGCCTACTTAGCGGGTGTTAGGTCCCGTCCTAGTTCTAGACAGTGGGGAGACAGCAGTGAACAAAGCACCCACCCTCAAGGACCGTACATGCCTGTGCTGGTTCACTTTGTAGCTGCAGCAGACTGACCACAAACAAGTAAGGCGTACACAAGCAAACCACACTCCCCTGCTGCGGGGTGTTGGTGTAAGTGATCAAGAGAAAGAGAAAGCAGTGAAGAAAGATGATGAGACAAGACAAGGCATGCAGACAGACAAGACAGATGGTCCTGAGGAAAAGCAGTCCTGACAGACTAAAGAGTGCAGCCAGGACAGCAGTTGTCCCTGACCACTCCTCCCTCCACCAAGCAGGAGGTGATCACTTGACTCCTGCGTGCTCCCACTGTGCTGATAAAAGCACCGGCAGAGCTTTGTTTCTAAGAAAACCATTTACAAAATTTGGTGATGGGCCTGATTCAGCCTATGGGCCATAGCGGGCCAACTCCTATCTAGATTATTTGAATTCTTAGCAACGAATGGCGTTTTTCAGAGAAACTCAAAAGCACATACATCAAATTGAACCATATATTAGTAAGTCTAATTAAAGGACATACAGTCATCCGTCTCTTACTAAAAGGGGTCATTGGCAATGTCTTACCGAGAGTGTAGGCTAAGAAGTTGAGGATGCCCACCACAATCCACACCCAATCGGGGACGTGCTTGTGACCTGGTGCTGCAAAGAAAAGCAACTACAGTTATAACACAGTCCAAGCACATCGGTTCTGATCAAAGTGCACAAAGTTAGGGGGAAAGGCTTCTGCTTCTTAACTAGAGGCTGAAGTACTTCTCTGATATAGTTTGGAACCATAGCGGTAAACTGTGGCTAAGAAAAAGGAATACTCCCTGGTCCCCCTTAAACAATATGCACTTGGTTTGAGCTTTATTCCTAACTTAAGACTGAGTGTTCAAGATGACTTGAAAATTATATGCCCAGAATAGAAAATAAAAAATACTTCTGGATTTTTAAAAAATGCTTTAGATTAATCTATTCCTCATTGCTTCTAATAATACTACAAACATGTATTGACCCTTTGCCTTTATTGATCTTTTACTCTCTCTTTCTATTATCACTTAGCTAAACAAAAGACCTTTTCATTTGAGGACAGATTATCTCCTGGGGGTTGGCATCAGAATGGCTCTGAAATGTCTGTACCTCATCTCTCCCCCCCCCCCCCCCCATCCCACCTCGTGATAGACTAACGAGAACCGGTAGTCCTGGCTTTGGACTCAACCCCAGCAATGTGATCTTGAATATACAACCGCTCTATCTCGTGAACACAAAATATGACATCTGAACTCCATGATTTAGCTGATCCTTTAAGCTCTAAGATATATATATATATTTCCAATTTCTGAGCCGCATGGTTTATTTTGCTGCTTGACACCTAAGTGACAACATGCCACTATAATTTTGGGGTTTCATCTAAACCTTTACTACACTGCAGCTACAGAAATATGTGGACACATTTTTGGAAAGAGAATTGACATTTTGCAAATGCAGCAGACATTTTAATTTATACACAAGAAAAAGAAGTGTCCAAAGGGGTATATGCATTTCAAGTTATTGTGGGTAGCGCTAAGATATTTTTGATTCTCTTAATAATCATGATAAATAATCTTTGTTAAAATAGACAGAGAAAATAACACCAACTAAAATACAAATTAAAAAACGCATTACCAAAATCATGCTTAATGAATGATCTCATTGTTCAAATAAATAGAATGTGAGGATCTCCTAGTGCTTCAGAGAGCTGGCGTTTACGACTTCAATTACCATTTTGTTGTATGAGCAGAAGAAGCGAGGGCTAGAAATGTCAGCTGATAAAATTTTGGCATGTGTATAGTGTTTCAATATTCAGAATTTCCATCATTTCAAAAAGCACAAATGTTTGAAACTCAGAATTTCCCTACAAAAACAATGTTGTCGGTGATTATTAATTTCCAAGTCAGCTCAGCAAAACCTGCAGAACCTCAATATATGAGTTATAACCCTAAAGCTCCTACTTACCATCATCTACCTCTACCTGCTTCTCTCACCTCGACCACTGGCTAAGCCATGGAAATACATCTTGTTTCCCACTACTCTCCATCATCCCAAATTACCCCAAGACCTAAAATTCTTCCCTGTGGCCTAAAGGAGAAACCAGGTCTGAGATAAAGTGAGGGGCGGGAATGGGGGGAAGACACTGATGTGTAGTAGGAGGAACGGGATGAAATGGTCCAAAATGACGCCTTTCTTCATTTCCTCAAAAAGAGGCCAAACCACATCGGCCACTAACCAGCCAAGGTCTAAGACGCGTCTTCAGAGGACACTGGCATGGCCACAGGCGAGTGGAAGCGCTGAGCAGAAGGCAAGTGAGGTCCCAACCCCTTCTTCTTCGGTGATTACAAAAGAGGAAAGGGGGTTCCTAGGAGTTGACAGGGATGCTGGGCTCTGTTTGTGCCCATTTTCCAGGCAATTGTAACAGTCCTAATTTCCATATTCTTGTACATGAAATATTTCTCCATTATTCAAATCCACTGCTCTTTACATAGCAGATTTAAATCCAATCGGCATACTAGAAATATAACAACAAAGTGTGGCTCCTGTACATAATTCTGCTATTTTACAAACTACGATAGAACAGTTAAACCTTTTCAGAGATATGGGCATGTGAATAAAAGCAGAAAACAGCATCTCATTTTTCTCTAGACATTCACATTTTTGTTATCAAAGTTGTAATCTTACCTGAAGCATAAAAGTCAGGATCAAAGTATGTCAACAGTAGAAAATTGAATACAACCATCAGAAAGCCAGAAAAGGTGATCAGATTTGGAGCCAGCCAAGTAGGAAATACCTGTTTTTATAAAGAAATTATAAATTAAAACAGAGGAATTTTCCTATAATACATATGAGGGTAAAACCAAAAAGTACTGCTATCGGGTGTGTGTGTGTGTGTGTGCGCGCGCGCTGGGCTTATACCAAACACATGTATGGGCTTATACCAAACAAAACCTGCTCAAAAAAAGCTCCAAATGCAACAGTGGCTTCCCAAAGGCCAGCCATCACAAGGGAAAGATGTCAGCCTATAAGGGTGCGGCAGATGTTTTTGGAATCCCCAAGGGGTGAGCTTGAGAAGATTTTCTCACAGGACGCAGGCTCACCATGGGGGGGCTTGGTATGAAGAAGTGTTAAGAAAACTGCAAAACCGCATTGGTAAGGAAAAGGCCAGGAAAGGTGTGCCAAGGAAATATTTTCCCACCACCACAATGTACCCATGCATCCCTCGAGGACACCAGGAGTGGTCCTGGGATTGCACTGGCAAACCTTGCCTCCTCCACCCCATCACCCTGCCCATCAGACTTCTTTTTGTTCCAAATACTAAGGACATTTAGAAAGAACATGATTTGCACCCAACAAGGATGCCAAACTGTCATTTTGGCCTGGTGTAAATTGGAGGGCACAGAACTGGGCAGGAGGAGGGGGGCTGGAGAGCTGGGAGTGCCACCTTCAGAATGGAATCGGCCAAGCTGGGGGATACGTCAAGAGCAATGGCTTCACATTTTGTTGGGTTTGCTTAATAGAGGTGTCTATGATTTTTGTAGTAATATTTTTTGACTCATCCTTGTGTTACAACATGCAAATCAGTCATAATGAAAGTTGGGAATTTGAAAGACCGCATTCAGGAACATTTTATATCTTAAAATATAAACATAGCATCTGCTTGATAGAAATCAGCATTTCTTTTCACCGTCTATATTTAAATTTCTTCTAGAATGAACCCACTTTCATAATCGATTCTGTAAATGTTTTCATGCACTTTATAAAGATGGCATCTTCCTGAGTATCATCTTTGTCTTCATCAATGAGCTCAATCAATAAAGGGAGAGCTCGGATAACACCACTACACTCAAAGTTACCCGGACCACACTCCAGAAACTCACCACCATGACTTACCTTTACGATAGTGTTCCAGAATGGATGCATGACATACAGAGAGATCGGATTGGTGTCCACAGCACTGTACTGTTTCGAAATGAAACAAAACAGTCATGGTTAATCCTTGCATTTGAGCAATAACAATTTGGCTATTGCTCAAATGCCAAATAATGTACAAAAAGAACCTGGAAAATATATCTACTTATATGAAATGACAAACGTGGAATAGCAATATAAAGGGGAAAGAGACTGTGAAGTAGAGTGAGTGAGTGAGTGAGTGAGTTTGTAGGGGGAGAACCAACAGGGAAAGTGTAAAGATCAACTTCTAAACCAAAGAGTTAATCTTACAGTGGGTTTTTCATCCACACACCCAGTGTGCAAATCATCAGGAAAATCATGGATTCATCCTTCCCTCTCAGTGAACTTTACAATATCACCGTACTTCAGTAGAGAAATATGCAATACTTACATGTTCTTCCACATCTTCTCAACCTCCTTTGATCCTCCCAATTTACAAGACTCTAGCTGTATCCCCTCCCCCCACCCCAATACCACTTCTAATACACTTACACTAGCTGTGCAGTCTGAAGCTACTTTCACCTCTTAGTTTCTGCATTGCGACATGCGATCACAGCACTGACCTCAAAGAACTGGCATAAGAATAACTTCATGATATATGAGAGAAAAGTACCTCGCCCTCAGTAAGTGCAAACTAAGAATGAACCCCAGAGGGGTGGCAGACCCCTTTATGTCAGCAGAGTGAGCAGCATGCAGTAGCTCAAAACAAAACACCACCATCCAATGGATTCCGACTCAAGGTGACCGTATAGGACAGGGTAGAACTGCCCTTGTGGGTTTCAGAGACTGTAACTCTGTACTGGAGTAGAAAGCCCCAGTCCCCCCACCCGCACCCCCCGAGTGAGTGGTGGTTTCAAACTGCCGACCTTGTGGTTAGCAGCACAACGCGTAACCACTACATCCTTAGAAATAGGTTAGGGTGGTAATAGGACTTATTTTGAATGATTGAGGTGTCTATTAAGAAGCTAAAGAAATGTTAGCAAGTACTTGTATGTAAACCTTAAAAGTCATGTAGAACACTCATCACACACACACACTGGAGTTGCTGACACCACAGGAGGCAACAACTAAAGGGATGGGGATGAAGGATCACAAACTGTGAAGGGACATTTCCCACCCCAAGGAGCTCAGAACATGATTTGGGCTAATATCAACTAGTTCATCCATAGGACATTTATACAATGTTCAACTAGTCAAATGTTTGGAAAACTGTGGATGGCGTTTTGTCTTTATTCTGAGTATGTATGCATATAAAATAAACAGAAACCCTGGAGTATCTAACTTCTTAAAAAAATCCTAACTAAGGACCAAAATTTCTTCTTGAATATTTTACAAACTCCATCCATGTCTCAGGCTTCTTCATCTTTCTAGCCCACTCGACCTAACACCAGCTTAACTGGGACAAGAAAGTGGGGGTGGAGTAGAAAGAAAAGTGGAAGGCCATGAACTGGCAAACTAGACTCTGAGCAGATTTCTACTGCTGTTGCTGGAAGGCCCTGGTGGCAGTGGAGTGGGTTACCCAGAGGACAGCTTATGGCAAGTTCACAACTGCAGGAGAAAGACGATGCTTTCTGTTCTCATCAAAACTCAGGCGGTTCCACCCTGTCTAGGGGGTAGCTGGTTTGGAAGCGAGTCCACAGCAGTGAGTTTGGTTCCTGAGTTCGGGTTGTTGCTAACAACAGCGTTCACGTGCATGCTACTCTAGTGTACAAGCTTTTTTGCCTAATATCCACCACTACCTTTGAACCTTTGTAAAATGAGGTCGCCCTAAACTGGCAAGACTGCTTGGAAGTCTTCCAGCTAGAGCAGGGGTCAGCAAACAGCAGCTCTCGGCTCTGTGTCACTCTTGGGTACACGCGGCTCTGAAGTAACAGGGAGAAATTTTAAAGGCTATTACTCAGATAATGGTGGTTTCATTTGTTTATAAAAATGTACTTATGGCTCTCGAATAATGTTGAGGCTCTTCCACCTCAAAAGTTTGCAGAACCCTGAGGTAGAGGGCAGAGAACTGACAAGAAACGCTAACAACTACTGATCATTGGGAAGGCCCTGGCCCACAAGATGTACCTGCAGGTCAAGTAAACTAGAAAAACACTCATTTCAACCCCACTGCAAACAAGTTATAAGGAGTTTAAACCAGAAGGAAGTGGTTTAAGGTATCCGTGAATACCTAACCCAGGGCACAAAGCACAAAGTGCCTCATTCAATGTTTGTTCAATTCAAATGCGTGCAAGCCTCATGCAAATGGAGTCCATTGACAGTGTCCTGTTGACTTGTAAGATTTGGTCAACTTCTTAAACTGTTAACTTAGAGCTAACAGAAGGTCCTTCATTGATGCCAGCGTGTTGGTTGGAGAAGGCCCTCTTCTTAACTTCTGAAGAGCTTCCTAACTCTGATCTCTACTGCAGAAGATTAGTTAACGTAAGAAAAGAATTCAGAATGACATACATGAAGGCCAGTTTATCTTATTGGATTTCAGTTATTCACCATTTAATAATAGTGACTGGGGCTCAAGTATAGCAGGAAAGATTACTATAAGATTACAGAAGAGAGGGGGCGGGGACTAGCTCCCATCTTAACATACCTGTGTAGGTATCAAGGTCCCCCATCACCCAGGGTGAACAAAGACACTGCAAGCTGTCCTGTGACCCACAGGAAGAAGGAAGAGTGATTCCCTATGCGTGGAATAACAAATCGAGCATACACTTTGGAAGGTATTATGTTAGATTTAGGTGATTTGTTCATGCTTATTAAATGTATTTTGAGTTGCTTTCGGGACGCTTTGGAAGACGCCGACGAATGCCCCACTATTAAGGCCTGGGGTGACTTGATGGGTCATGATTATAAAGGGGCAGACAAGGGTAGTGGCCAGGGGTGCTTGAGGACCACGGTCTGCTTTTGAGACTCGCGAGGAGCTGGAGGGTGTCGAGTGCAATCCTCTCCTACACACTGGCTTTCAAAAGTCACTATAAAAATAGGTGAGAAGTCGGCTAGCCTTAGTATCAATGCCTCTGGTTACAAAAACCACATGATCACAGCCCCAGAAGCAACTCGATACAATGTAGCAGCTTTTCCATAAACCAAGAGCACACTCCCTCATGCGGAATTTTCTGCAGTTTTCATTCTGCTTTACAAAGTTAAGCACAGAAGGACCTACGTCTTCCACGTGACAGTCTTCAGAGAGTGGGAGACGACTAGCTGGCCCACAAGCATCTTCCCTTCACCTTCCTGATCGTCTGATCTGTACCTCCACGGCTCCTCTTTAGACACAGCTCCTCTTTATCCGCACACTTTCATGTAAAGGTCCAGATATGAAGTGCTGTAGGCATTGTGGGCCTGTGGCCCATTAATAATCACTCAATACTGCCACCGGAACGCGCAACAGCCATCGACCAAAAAAGCAATACACTTAAAAGCTCACAAAACTCGACTCACAGAACAGGTGGTCCTACTCCAGCCATTCTGACTTGTCCCTAAACCAACACAGAGGTGGGATCCAGGGCAAAAGGCATACTGTGGCTGGGGACAAAGGTCGGGGACTGCCTGTCACTGTTTCTGCCAAAGACAGAGGCCAGGTTGATTTGAGAAACTCCAAGTTGATTCTGCAAGCGTGAGACAGAAGTCAACCCTGAGGTTTGCACCAAACTGCTTCAAAAATCAAGCAGGTTACATATCCCAAACGCTGTGACAAAAAGCACTAATCACAGGAAACCATGATTTCCCCAGTGTTTATGCTGAGTTTAGCACTTACCAACCCACCGTCCCTGAAGCACTATGCTCCACAGCTTATCCATGGGGGAGATGCTTCATGCCTGACTACCTTGTTTTAATGGCATTGCTTATCGCATATACTGAAGTTACAAGACCATCCCTACGGATTAAGCTTAAAATAAAATGTTACTGCAAGTGAGGGGGCGGATTCATGCTGCTGTAGAACATTCCACTTTTGATTTCTAACAAATTAAATCCCAAATTATATGTCTAGCATTTTGACTCATCATAATGGTCTTTCACCACCCCCATCGATATTTCAAGATGTAATATAAGCAGAAGAACAAACATAACGATAAGCTATTCTTCCTCAGTATTTTATTTCTCTAACCGCTGCTCCGCAGACTGATTTCCTGTGTCAACTGGACCTCACTACAGACTTAATACAGCGCTGCAGTCCTCAGGCCCTTCCTCTATGGGCTGCCAACCACCTTGCCCTATGCTCCTGGGAGGTTAGTGTTTAAGCCAAAGCACGAGGCTACAGTGACCATCTCGAGAGCTGTCTTGCTAGCGCTAGTGCATCTCTGCCCCTCTCCAGAGTCCAACCCAGTTATCCAAGGTAATAGCGAGTCCCACGGAGAGTCTCCATAGTAACCTAACCACGCTAAGTAACACCTCTTATGAGCTTCTACAAAAATGCTGATCAAAGCGGGTCTTCTAAACGCTTCCTGAGCTGTTGTTGCTCCCATTTGATAATTTCTCATTTAGTTGTCAAACGCTGAACTGTCGCCTAGGGCAATTCTTTCTATATTGAAGTTTCCATGAAAACCAGAATGACCTTAGATGATACCTTGTCAAATGTCAGAATTTTCCCAAACTCCCCTTTTTACATCAGTGCAAATCAGGAAATAAATCAGACTTTATCCTTCAGTCGGTGAGTCAACAAATAGCCATGGCCCACTGCCTGTGACTCTGACTGCCAGGCACCAGGCTACGCTCCGGATGAAGAGATCGGTGACAGGTGAATGAGAGGGAAGCATTTCATCCCGGTGTTTACCCTCCACCCCCCCTCACCCCATAAGAGGTGAACAAGAAAGCAAACCATGGTGAATTGTAACAAATGTGAAGGAAACCAGCAGCGGGTGGTGGTGGAGAGAAACTGGGACAGAAAAGGTGCCTGATCCAAGTGGTCAGAGGAGGTTTTCATGGGGGGGGGAGGGTACATTGCGGCTGAATGCTATTAGAGTTAAGTCAGGTAAAGAAGGTGTGAGTTGTACTCCCGAGTAAGAGGAGGGAGACTT